TGATTTACTTTATTCCAAAAACAGTACTTGTGATACAAAATGGAATTTTCAGTATTAATCACAATATTGCATCTAATTTCCTCAGAATATAAATAAAATTAATCACACAGAAAACTTTCCACATTTACAATAGAGGTAATGTCAAAAACATGCAGCATATAAAATGGAAATAATAAATGATAACAGCTAAGGCAAATATAATATAATAATAATAATACAAGTGAAAATTCCCGTGGGCTTGTTTCACACAGTATTGGCAATGTGGTATAGAGATCCTAGTATGTTTAACAATTTTGAATATAATGTTCTCTTTACATGATATGGTGAGGGGAAAAACAAAGATTACAGAAGTCATGGAGATAAGTTGGTGTTTGCAATTATGAAAGTAAAATAAACGAAGAAGCAACAGGACCATAAATATAACAGAAATAATAAAAGTAAAACTTGAAGGTATATAAGGATGGATGGATGGAGGAAATTGTTTATTTACTAGATGAAAGAAGTTTAGTTAATTCTTGCCTGACACTATTTTCATGACATAAAATACGTGCCAAGTATGGTATCACAGAATTTCTATACTTAGATGTGCGAGCATACAGTTTTCTGAATTTACTCCTTGTTCTACCTGAGGAGATGCAAGGTGAAAGCTGAGAGTAAAGCGGATGCTCCAAGTCAGACAAAATCCTTTTAGCAAATTTATTGCATGAAGCCAAGTGCCTAACGACAACGACGTTGACAATGTGTTCCACTGGGACACCACCACTTGCCCTACTGGCAGTCATCAAAGTTCTACTACGTAGTATAGCATAGTCTTTTTTTAAGCAAACCAGGAAAGAATAATCAAGGGTGAACAATAAAGAAGAATAGGTAGGATGCAAGAGCTTATGAACTGTAAGAGGAGGAGTTGGTTGAGTTATACCCGAGTGCCTTAACTCGGGTATGCATAAATCAGTTCACCTGTTCTTGTGAAGCAAGACATATTAGTCATTCAAAGCATATTCTGTTTAAAAAGGTTCAAGAACAGTATCCGACATGGTTGTAGAAGAGTAGAGGCGACTCTATAAGCAAGGTTGACACTGAGAATCTATGTCAATAAACTCCTCTTTCAAAAGGATCTACAAAGCGATGAATAGTAGTTCACCGAAGACAATACGCCTTCGCTGTCAAAAGTGATATATTGCATGGAGGATTTAATCATGAGCTGACATCAGTTAGAGAACCACTGGAAAACCTGGGAGTACTGGACAGCCGTTTCGTCCTAGTTTGGGACTCCTCAGCAGTACGCACCCACCGGGATTCGAACCCAGGACCTTCTGGTTACAAGGCGAGCTCGTAGACCATTGAGCCACTGGTGTCAGCTCATGATTAAATCCTCCATGCAATCAAACAAAATCCCTACAAAAAACCAATACTTGAAAAAAGTGATATATGACAAAATCATTGAAATCGACCATCAACAGCTTTTTTCTTTAAAAAAAGGCATAGAGATGGTACTTTTATCATTCTTGATGACGAATGTGACCTTAATAATGTCCTCAGCCGTAAAATTTAAAGTTCAGGTAGAAAGCGAACAGACAATAGCATATCTGGACGTTCAACTAACAAAGAAGACTGATGGGACTCAGAAGCCTTTGTAAAACGTCCACTTAACAAGCTGTTACATTTAGGTAGCCGTTAGTCACAAGCAGAACGTGATAATACCTCCTAAGATTATAATCCAAAGAATCTGCATCCCTGACTCAGCAGATATAAAGATCACTCCTTTCAGGAAGGCATTACCCAATCCCCATGCTTTATAGACAAACACATAAAAGCTCGAAAAAGAACAAAGAAAATCCTATCTCTATGCAAAAAAGGTTTTATATATGAGTGTGATGTTCAAAGGTGACCATCTGGTAGACATATCAAAGAGGAAAATATCAAACGCCCTGAACAGAACACTCTTTGCTGGTACACTACTAATGCTATTTCCTTGCCACCAAATGTTCTTCAACAAATCTATAGGTGAACTACCTCATTCGACCATTTTTACGTGCATTTACCACTTCACTTTCTCCCGTGGAGCGAGATATTTAGTTCGTTCAGAGTTTGTATTATCTAAAACAGCCAAAGAACATTATCCTCATTGGTTACAAAAAGGTAACAGTGGCTCAGTAAGGAGTACTGTCATTGAATAAAATGATTTTGTCTCTTACAGTGAATCTCAAAGAGGAGGTAGCTAGCTATTTATAAGCCTACTGAATACATTGACAGTTGGCTGTTGTTTGACATTTTTCGTTCTGAATTTCTCACCACTAGTTCCAATTAAATATACTTTTAACTTCTAAGTTACACACCAAATATCCAGTTTCCATGTGGATTTTTAAGTGTCGATTTTTTTTGACTGATTCCAAGTTGACTTTCATTACGAACAGATCGATATCAGCTGGAATTTGATCAAAAACCGGGAAAAACACTGGACTGTTATTTTATTCTATTTCAGAAGTCATTAAAAATATGTGCAGCAAGGAATTCACTTGCGTTTGGGGCCAGATTTTTTGATTTCGCCTTATGTTGGTAAAATGGTAAGCAGGATTACTTCCTAACCTAAAGGTGCTGAGTTTGTTCTGATTCGGTTCAACTTGGTTTTTGATGTACAGTGCTGAAACATCAGCTCTCCAGTACTCCATGGCTTTCAATGGTTCTCCGACTGATATTGCTTCTTGACTAAATATAACATTCCTTAAGAAAGACTCAACTGTAAATTCCGATCTGATGCTCTCTGGTTGCAGATTAGCTAGGGATGAAACTGCTCGGAGTTCTAGTTAGCAGTCGTGACCAATGGGGTTCACCACCGTGTCTCGAGTGAACACAAATACTCTCCCTCGATGATACTGACTTCTGGTCACGCTATAATCACAAATTGGTAAGAGCCAGAATTCATTGGCTGGCCACTGAGTCCGTTTCAGTAATTCAACGGTCTACAAGCTCGCCTTGCAACCAAAAGGTCATGGGTTTGAACCCCATTGGGCTAGTACAGTCGGTGAGTCCGGGACTAAGACAAGACAGCTATCAATCACTTCTTGGTTTTCAGCGGTCCTCTATCTGACATCAGTTCATGTATAGTCTTAGTGTCACAACTTTCCGATACCAGATGAGACTAAAGAGATATCTTTTAAGAATGATTGAGGATCTTCAAACAAATTCGAAGATAAAATGCAGGTGTTTATCAGCTCACTGACTTCAACGTGAAATCACGAAGCTTGGTTACATTTCTATATTTCGTAAGAGTTGTGTTTAATCCATAAGGACAAACGTGCTAGGTAACAGATTCAGTGATTCACGGGGTATCGCTTGTCAATCATCAATGTTATACAACGGTTGTCTAGTTTCTCAGCCCACTACTTAAGCCAGGAGACACGACGAGCTGAGACTGAAAAGTATGAATTAGCAAAAGGAAGCAAGAACATGGATATTGAGAGCAAAGAACACATACATGGGTTAATAATGTAGGCGTTATATAGGAAAAATCCATCAGAGATATCTGTTTATGAAACAACTATGGCTGAACCATTTTTCAGACACGCTATCTATTCATCACATATCAAAGTAGTCTTACATAATCTTATTAAGTTATTGAACATGATCTCCACTTAATCGCAGATTGCTGTATAGAGATCATGTTTGAAGCTGTGGGGATAGTTTTTTTTGTGAATTTCATACCTTTAGAATGCTGGACTGTAGTCTATTACGATCTCACATATTCAAACTCTTATAGCCTTCTAACCAAATTAACGCATCTGAAATTGACATGCAAGAGATTTTCACTTTTTGTTTTACTTTGATTAATTCATTGCAGTTTGTGGGTGAGAGATATATCTCCTCATATATATTTACAATACGTAATGTGGTATATTCAGATAAGGTATACTAAAATTTGTCGCTTGTTACAGACTTGCGTCACCAAATGGATATTTTCACCTAACACCTAGTAGGCGGAACTATTTTACCTCAATGTATGCAGTTACTAGTACAAATACTCGTACCATGCTAATTAGGGAAGTGTACGAACATTCGGGAATTCGACTTCTAGCTGGTGAGCTCCTAAACCTCACTGAGATAATAGGTTGCCCGGGCAAAGAGGAACGTTTAGGAGTTAGGTTAGCAACATCATACCATAAAAGTATAAAACACTGCTATCGATAATTAAGAGATGTAGCGTGAAAACCTTTGTTACACTCGTAATGTACAGTAATATAAAAAAACATAGAAAGAGTCAGAGGTTTCTAAAGGGTTTTCATTGAGACCAAGAAGACCCCAGAGAAAAGTGATTTTATTTGGTTTTTGAGGGAATCGTCGTGAAGTCTTTCACTTAGGCTTCCTGATTGTTGACGGTCAGGATTAAGGTGTGTCTGAAATCTTGCGGAAAATTATGCCTCTACACTGCTTGAGATCGTTGGTCACCAACAGCTGTAGCCACTGACCTTACCAGTGAATTATTTAATCTCATAAAATAAGTTTAGTGAGACATTTCGTTGACTCTATCTGACCTGTTAAAAAAAAGACATCTAATACCCTCGGTTTTCTAGTGGTTCTTTAAATAGTGTCAGTTAATGATGAAACCCTTCAACCAACCAACCAAAAATCCCTACAAATCCATGCTTGAAAATGATCTTATGCTCACTACAGACTGGCTCTATTCAGGCAGTTAACCTGAGTTATAGTGAAAGCCATGCCCAGCAGGGTGCAGCAAGTTGAAAATGAGGACTAGTAGAAGTAAGAATTCATGGGCTGGTCACTGGATTGGGTCTCAGATGCTTAATGGTCTTCAAGCTCACTAGACTTGTGAACAGAAGGCACTGGGTTCGAACCCTAATGGTTGGGTGCGTACTGCTGAAGAGTCCCAAAATAGGCTTACAAAACAGCTGGCTGAGCAGTACTCCCAGTAGGCTTTCCAATGGTTCTCTAGCCGATGTCAGCTCATGATGAGATCCTCCAACTAAAAAATAATCGTAATAACTGAGCACTATTTCATCCTTGCCTCACTTAACTAAATTCTATATTGTTTGTAATGTTTGAAAGGTTTTAAAACAAAAGTATCACCTTATCTCTTCATCTCCTCTTTATTTTCATCTTACTACAAAAAATAAATTAATAAATAATTAGTTAAATGGTCAGCAGTACGGAAAAAAGACTTTCCAGTTAAACATTGAACAATGTAACTAACTGATAAAGTTAGAAACGATTTCTTTGTTTGTTTCAGTCAATTAAGAAACCATTGAAACGTTGAACCAATGAATAAATAAATAAATAAATATATTATTTTTCTTCGTAAATAATTCAAATAAGTGAATACAAAAAAAACTGTGACAAAATCTATGCCATCTTTTTTCCAATCTCCATATCGAACACTGAATTAGTGGTGGGAGAATATTTGTTTGAATTTTGAACCTGTTCCACTTTCCCTGGCGTTTTAATTAAACGTTCTTTTTTCCAATATGCTTTCATATAAAAATTAAAAAATAATATAAAAAATATCACAGAATAATGACTATAGCTGTTGGAAATACTTTTGGAAAATTACATGAAGATGGATTGTTAATTAAAAATTGTCCTTGATGGAAAATAAACCAAAGAAATTGAATCATTTGTATAAGGGTTAAATAATTTTTCCACCATAGCAGATGATATACTCCAATAGCAGCTAATCCATAATAAGTGTACATTAAAATATGCACAAAACTGTTGACCAATGGAAACATGTATATTAGACCACCTGTTATTAATTGGAATAAAAATAAAAGAAATGGAAGAATTAAATTTTAATGAATTTAATGAAGTACATTCGACTATGAAATTTACATGCGAACAGCAATTCCAAAATAAAATTGCCTTCCTGAATGTCCTTCTCACAAGAAAACCAGATGGTAGCATTAAGAGAAATTTGCGTAGGAAAACCACATGGACAGGACAATATACACACATTTTCACAGCTTCGTTCCTATCAAGCACAAAAAAATTTAGTGACGACCCTCAACCACAGAGTTAGTTAGAGCTATATGCTCAGAAGAAGTAATTGAAGATGAATTAAGCATTGTATATGATACTTCGATTGAAAATAACTATCCTGAAAAATCTATCAAGAAACACATGATAAAGAAAGCGGCGGAAAAGGACTACTCACTATCTGTAAACAAGAAGCCACTTTATATACGACTACAATTCAAGGGCGATATAACAAGTGAGATAATTACGAGGAAATTACGTGAATCAGTTCAAAGAACTTTTGATGCTGGTGAACTACACGTGTTATTCTCTACACGACCAATGGTGCTACGTCTACTTAAAGATGAAGTACCTAGACTAGCTGGCCACTTCAAACTGTATCTACCAATTCAACTGAGCTTGTTGTGGAGCGAGTTATATTGGTCGTTGCTCTAAGAACTTGATTTTTCGTGCTCTCTCGAGAACATCTCCCAGCACGGCTAAGTAAAGATGTAGTGAAAACCATTAACAGTTCAGTATTAGATCATCTGGTCCAAACAGGCCACAAAGCCAGCACTTAACAATTCTTCATCATCATATATTGGGTACCGAATAAACTGCCAAAGAAACACCCAGGTACCGCAAACTGCAAACAGCAGAGGTTATAGCGAATCGCCTGAAACAACTGGTGTTCTGTGTGTAGAAGAAACAGGTCCAGCCAGCCACTACTACTGTCGTGGCCAGCCTTCAGTGGAGACTATAAGTACATGAATTTGTGTCATTATCTTTCCTAATTTCTTCGATATTCATTAAGCGTATCTTTATGTTGACGCTATTGAAGTGTAATCCATTGGTATTATTATTATTATTAATTATTGATTCGACGTTATTTACACAACAATAATGTTGTTAATAACATTAATTCGTTCATTCACTGTTATGGATGGATAACTGTAGAGCCTGATGAAAAGAACATTCTGTGTTCAGTAATCATTCCTTTGAAGGTATTTTAATGGGCACTTCTATTCAATTAAAATGTAAAAGACAGAGATATTATCATTATACAAAGCATGACTTGTTTTATATAGGTTATATTTATTCGAGGCGGCTATAGAAGTGTCAAGGTCAAACAACAGGCTACTTCTTCAATTTTAGTCGGACTCCTCAAAAAGATGTTTGTGTAACTTTATCGTTAATGCATTATTATCAAAGTCTGGTCAATAAATATAGATTCGAAATGATACTTTACAAAATGGATGACTGGTGAACTCGCCGGATAGTCTGAAGACCCTGGGTTTGATCCACAGTGAAGTCTTGGGAGCGTACTGGTGAACAGTCCCTATCTAGGGTAAAACAGCTACCCAGTACTCTCTGGCTTACAGGTTGATTCCCTACTGAGCTACTCTCACTCCTCGCCTAACCAATAGTAAACGTGAAAAAGAGAAAGGGTTCGGAGTTAACTTAACAACACCTCCAGCAAAAGTGAAATCGTCGTTACTGAAACTCGAAGACTAAAAGTGAAGCCTAATGTTTCACATATATACGGAGAACTCATCACTTAATGCAAGTTAGACCAATGGAACACATTCCAAAGTGGCTGCAAGAACAGACGAAATTGACTAACTCAGCTGACCCTGTAAATAAATGCCCAGTGTCATTTATCGCAAAGTGCATGTTTGAAACGAATCATAAAAATGAATTTTTAACACCATCTACGAACGCATAAATAAAGTAAGTATTGGTGACATAATTTAATTCATTAAAGACCTAGCAACGAAAAGAATTAAAAATCTGTTTTATATATTCGAAATCTGTTAAATATTACAGCAAACTTTTAGTGGTAATTTAATTTGAAATAAAGGGTCATTTTACATAGTAATATTTCCCATTTATTTGTATTTGTTTTACTTCTGATCGGTAACTTTGACTTTCATTGATTCAACTTTGACCTTTATTACTCCGCCGATCATTGACACAAAATTTATCATAAGTACTTCTGTGTAATCAGAATGTCTGAAAAGTGTTACCCAAATATATTACACATCTCAGACACATCAAGTCACTTAGCAGAAATCTTTTGTTGAGGAATATCAATAACTATGAAACTTAAAACAGTCAAATATCTCGGGAACACTAGTCGTTGTAAAATGAGTAGACGGAAGCGCAACCTGCTTCAACAACTTCCATTAGCAGAGTCCGTTGATTAAGTACCCTGACAAAAAATTATTTATGTATCAACTCTGATAAAAATGAATCTCCAACTGAGTTGTGGATTGGCACTTAAAGACACACTTTTTATTCCTTGAGTTCCGAGTGGAACGTGGACCTCCAATTTTTGAACTTTTAAGTTTCATTAGCCGTAGGGTATTTTCGTTTACGAAGTGGGGTTCCTAGCCTCCAGCCTAGCTTTCCCTATTTTACAGGCCTACAACGGATAAGACGAAGATTAGAGAAGAACATTCTCCAAAAATCAAACTTACACGCTTCTACAACTGAACTGCCAACGCTCTTCCCGAGAATTTAACTGTTTGTGAGTCATGGTCAGTTAGAATTAGGTATCTCTGAGACACGTAAATGTAGGTTTTGTCAAGAATCAAAATCAACTGCAAAAAACATTCAAACGTGCACACAAATGGTCTGCTGTTTCGTCCAAGTTTGCGAATCTTCAGCATTTATTACCAATTAATCAACCAACGATCAAATTCAAGATCTTCAGCTGAAGTGGTTGCTGAGTTGGAACCCATTGCCCAGTGAATTACAACTTCCATTAATTAGCAGTATAGAACCCCCTACCCTACTAATTCTGCAGATGAGTATACTCTTCAAACTTGATGTGTTGGTCTCGGTGAGTCACAAATTCTCACTAGAAATTCAAGACAATCATCATTTAGCTACCTTTATGACTGTGCGTCGATGGTAGAGTGATAGAGTACTCGTCAACCAATCAGGTGGTCCGGGGTTCGATCCCCGGCCAATGCACTCTTTTACCTCCATAAGCCAGTGATAAAACTGGTAAAGAGGGAAGGTTGAACATGAGGCTAGCAACCCTATCCTTTAATAGTGATCAACACTGTTACTGAAACTTCAAGACTCTACCCTGAAGCACTATGTTCCACTGGGCGAACATAAAGGAATAAAAACTGACTGAAATCATTCGAAATCCCAGCAAACACAAAATTCTCTTTCTTAAGGGTAAGCCATTTATTATTAATTACTCAGTTTTGGATAGCTCACTAAGTGGTACTAGTTTATGGTCAAGCCTATTCTGAAGGTAATTAAAGATGTGTGAAGTATTAACGACTCGTTTTCAAGGAAATAAACATCTCATTTGAAGAAGATGAAAATTACTGTAAAATCATGAAGTCCACGTTTTCAGTCATAATTTTTACTTTTTCTTTTTCTATGTAATTAGGCTGAAAACAGACACACCCATACACCCACAAACACACACACAAGCCTACACTCGACAAACTTTGCATCTATAAGTCTGACTTTTAGTCAACTATTTAGTAACAGATAATATCACGTTAAATATACTAGAATACTAAATCAATTAGCTTATTAAAAGCACTATAAATGTAATTGTTGAAAATTGAACGAATATTAAATTAAATTAACTACAGCGCAATTTGAATTTTGACCATGCACTAACTTCATTTAGAAGACATTTGGAAACTACGGAGTACCGGACAGGTGTTTCTTTTTTGTCTGAAGCTCTTCATCAGTATGCGCCCATTACCTCATCAGGAATAGGACCTAGAACCTTCAGGCGCCACTGCTATAATGAGTGGTGGTGATTGAAGGTGAAATGGAAATATGGCCGCAACGGAAACCAAATCACTCTGGTGTTCTACCAACTGGAACAGGAAACTTAACGTCTAATCAAGTCTCTGTTTGACAGCAGTTCTCATGGACGACGCTAAGCTGTCACTGGAATGAATGACATAGCGTTATCCGTTCGCTTTCATCACATTACCTCCCTTAGGTGTCAACCTTGATTATACTGAATCAGGTTATAATGTAATTTTGAGTTATGACGGTTGAATTGTTGCTTATTAAGACTATATGCAACGTGAATTAGAGAAATGATACACCTGACATTGATTCAACACTTGTTTGTTACCTATTGGATTCCTCACAGTCTTGTTACTCGACATACTACTGATAACTATAAATTGCACATACTACATTAGTATGCTCACTATCTGATATTCAAGGTGTAAATACCTTTTACTAAGTGGCTTTTTTTCCTCACATTACATAATTACGAAAATTCTGATGGAATAATTCTAATAACTTCATATAGCTTACTTATGCCTAATGTTTACACTGTGAAGGAACAAACCAACGAGAAAGAGCCGATCGCTCAACAAATATGTAGGCGAAAATGGAGATAGATTGATGGGCATACATTGAAGAGACTGTCGAATGACATCGCGCACAATGCAGGCCACTGCTTGAGTGGAATCCGAATAGAAAGTGACGAGTGATTCGTCAGTGTGAAGGTGATATGGAGGAGATCGTGTGTGGAAGATATGAGCAGCCAGCCAGCTGAAGAGGACGTCAGAAAACAAAAGAAAGTGGAGATGTGTTGTTGAAGCCCTATGTCCCATTTGGAACTCAAGGGAACAATAATAGTAGTAATGTTTACACCTATTCGGTATACGCTATTTAATTTCAATAAGGCAGTTTTTGTTCTTTTTGTTGATTGATTGATTGATTGGGACAAAATGTTCGGCCCGCTGTTCACATGTTGGTCCAAATAATTAATGCAGAAAACAAAAATTGATG